TTCTACACAGCAAAGGAAACAATGACCTGAGTGAAGAGATAACCTGCAGAATGAGACAACATTTTTGCCAACTATTCTTCCAACAGAAGATATAAAGAACTCAAAAAGCCAAGCACAATGGTACACACTTGTAATCCATGCAGTTGGAAAATGAAGTTGAATGAAGCCATAAAACTAGAGAAAAACAAGGATAAATATTTATAACCTATAGTGAAAATCCCTTCCCAGGTCCAATATGAAGCTCATGTCACAAAATTAATGGGTGATAATTGGTAGGTGAAAAATTTTAAACATGCTAATCATCCCTGGCCATAAAGGACATGCAAATCAAAACTACCTTGAGATTCCACCTCACCCTAGTTAGAATGACCATTATCAAAAAAATGATAACAGTAGTTGGTAGTGGGGGATGTGGCCAAAGGGAATGCTGCTACACTGTTGGTGGGAATCTAAACTGCTTCAACCATTCTGGAAAGCAGTATGGATGTTCCTCAAAACACAAAGCATAGAGCTTCCCAATGAAGAATACATCTTTTTTTTTGTTGTTGTTGGTTGTGGGGCTTGAACTCAGGGTTTGGGTGCTGTCCCAGAGCTCTTTTGCTCAAGGTTAGCATTCTACCACTTTAAGCCAAAGCACCACTTCCAGTTTTCTGGTGGTTAATTGGGGATAAGAGGCTCATGGACTTTACTGCTCAGTCTGGCTTTGAACCCCAAATCTCAGCCTCTTGAGTAGCTGGGATTACAGGTGTGAGACCCCAGTACCTGGCAAGTACATATTTCTTGTAGTCTATTGATATGAACCTCAGGAGTAGCTAAGATTAGTTTATCATGACAGAAGTGAGGATGGTAGTTACTTTGAGGGGCAATGTTTGAGAAAGCATGAGAAAGTTTTCTGGGATTTGGAATTATTCTATAAATGTATGTTTGCACATAAAACAGAGAGGCAATTTGAAGAAGACAGGTTTACCTGTTTTATTGCTTTTTAGGATTTAAATGAACCAATAAGTGTGTGGCAGTCATTTCTGTGTTTTTCTCATGCTTGCAGCAAAAATACCAAAGTGCTCAGACTTGGAGCAGTGTTGTTATTTGGCCTCACTCCCAAGTTCTATCTTCACATCATCCTCAGTCATCAGTTCTGCATCTTCAAAAGTATGAAATCCTTCACAAAGATGAAGAACATTGATGGATAATTACTGCATTTGTTAAGAAGACAGTGTTAGGTTTTAAAAAAGAGGTAGCCGAGTAAGAACATCACTACGCACATGGTATTCAGGTAAGGTGTAGGATTATTCATTGTTCCGGCTGGCACCAGGCCATCTTGGTCCTCCATGTGGCTGGGAAAGGCCTCGGAAAGAGAGCTGGGAAAGAGAGAGAGCTGGGAAAGAGAGAGAAAGAGAGAGAGAGCTGGGGAAAAGAGCTAAGAGAGAGCTAGAAAAGAGAGAAAATAGCTAGAAAAGAGAGGCTCTTTGTCACTCAGTCACTGTCCAGACATGGCGCCATGCCAGAGAGCTCCTATGGCCTTTAGCTGAAAGGCCGGTCACCTCCGAAGCTGAGGACGCTTGGTTTTGGGGGCTTGGCAATATCTCTCTAGAGGGTTCTGGGGGAAGTTGGGACGCCACTTCGGCCTGGTCAGGTCTCCTTCACTCACCAGAGAGACTCTACATTTAATGGAGTGCTGCAAGTCAATTTTTCTGCCATTCTCAGTTTTAAACAGTTTTTGCCACTGCAATGGTAAATGGTCAGAAGTCTGTTTACTTTCAGGCCCTCTTTGCTCTCTCTCTGCCAATCACGTCTAGCTCTCTCTCTCTTTCTCGTATAACATTTTGGCTTGTGCCCTGAAAAGTGATGCAGGCTGGGTCCCAGGAACCCCCCTCTAGATTCCCTCTCAAAGGTTAGCCATTCTAGGTTTGAAAATTGTCAGAGTTTCCATTTGTTCAGGTTTCCGTCAATGCCTCATGAGACTTCTCCAGACTTTGTCCAAGAGACTTGCCTCCTCCAGACTTCATCAAAGGACTCAACACCCAAGTGACAGCTGCAGCCTGCTGCCTTCTCCCAGAATGGACCACATCCCAGCCTTTTACCCCTACTGTCGACGCCCCTTGCCAGCAGGAAGTAGCCAGAGAGAATCTTCGCCCTTTTTCATAATTATCAAAAGGCTGGAATGTAAGGTCCATTCCTGGACGGTGAACAGACCTCGCCCAGTACCTGTGTTACCTAGGCAACTGGGACACCTGGAAGAGGTCACATCTGCATCCACTGAGGTTACATCTTAATCTGATGTGGCCACACCTTTCTCCCACCTGAGCCCACTTCCCTTTACTTGGACACACCTTCCCTCCCCCCCCACCCTATATAAGGCCTAACCCGGGGCCAGACTCTCTCTTTTGCCAGCTGTGTGGAGTGCCAACCTTGCCTGGTCCCAGCAGGTCTACTGAATAAACCTACCCCTTACCTGAATACCACATGTGTGGTGAAGTTCTTACTTGGCTACCTCTTTTAAAAAACCTAACAGACAGCAGGGTTGGAACTTTCTGAATCAGTTTGCTCCGTAGTTGTCAGTAGTTTTTTTGGGTCTTATTATGTGATGAATAATAATGTTTAGAAAATTTTGCACTATTCTACTCTTCACCTGCTTTATTAAAGTTTTCTTGTTGATTTAATATATATTTATCTTCCTCTGCATTCATTTCCAGTGGCTGTTCTATCAAGTTGCTATAAACTTGGTACCCAAAAACAACCCTAATTTATTTGCTTTCAGTTCTGGGAAGTCCTAAAGCAATGTTGCTAGACCAAAATCATGGTGTGAGCAGGACAGTGTTCCTCGGAAAGCTCCAGAGGAGTATTTGCTCTTTGTCCTTTCTGGCTTCTGTTGGCTACCAGCATTCTTTGGCTTGTGGGGAAATCACTTCACTCTCTGTCTTTAGGTTATATTGCTTTCTCCTCTTCCGTCTGATCCTCATCTTCCACTTTTCTTTCCCTTGTAAGGATACATGAGATTGCATTGAGGGTTCACTGAGACAATTACCGCATAATCTCCACATTTCAAAATCATTTGCTTGATCTCATATGCTCATCCACTGAAAATCACTTCCAATGATTAGGACCAGACATCCTCATGGGACTATTCTTCTGCCAATTTACACCCTGCTTTCAGATGTAAACTCCACGGAGCAGGATCTTGCCAGGGTTTGTCCACTGCTGTGTCATCCATGCTCAGATTACTTGCGAAGAGTATGGCATTCACTAAATGTTGGAACAGTTAAGCATTAAGTAATACCAATTCACTATGAACCACTTTGATCATGTTCCTTTACTGTTTTGAGCAGGCATACTTTGTGTCAGCTGGAATGTATCTGTGTATATATGTGTGTATGTATGTATGTATCTCTATCTATCTACTTACCTATCTATCTATATCTATGTGATACTAGGGTTTGAACTCTGGGCCTTGTGCTTGCTAGGCAGATAGTTTAATAACTTGAGCTACAATCAGATATCTTTAGTTTATTTTTTAGCTGGAGTTTTTTATCTAAAGGGCTGGACTTAGACCATACTCTTAGACTTGCCTCTGCCTCCTGCACAGTTAGGAATTACAGGCCTACATTACCATGTCTGGCTATATAATTTTCTTTCTCTGAAACAATATTCTAATAACCAAGTTTTATCAATCTACAGTCTAGATTGCTTCATAGAGGAATATGCTTTTTGAATGTGAGATTATTCATATAAACTTTGGACGATCATCTATCAGGGACGCCAGAAATGATACTTTAAAATTAGGATTCTAGTTCTAAAGAGCCTTGTTTTCCTGAAATATCTAGACTTCAGAATTAAAATATCTAGAATAGCTAATAGTACTTAATAGTGTCATTTCCATAGTAATATTCCTAGTAGATGGGCTGAAAAAGGCTGGAGTTGTTCCGGAGGGCACGTTCTCACCCAATAATGACAACAAAGGCAGGGGGAGGGGGAGGAGGGCTCGCCTCAGGTTTTCTTTTGTTCTTCACCCACCCCACCCCCTGTTTTCCCCTAAATCATTTACATAGGACTAAAGGTCACAATGAATGTGAAATGTTTAACACTAAGACGGCTGGAGTCATTCCTACACAATTTCCCGTTAGTCTACAGTTCAGTGTAAGTCTACCCTTTGGACTGAGATAATTCAGGAGAGTTCTCAAACTTTTTTTTTTTTTAATTTTCTGGAAAGACTCTTCCAAGCTCTTAAGAATTAACGGTGAACTTGGTGAGGCCTCTCATGAATTGCCCCCGAAGTGGGAAAAGTTTAAAAAGCAGAGCCACAGGCCGTCCCAGCGCGGAGACTGTGCGGGGAGACGCGGCTCCCGCTTCGGCTCGGGAAGGAACCAAGACGAGCCGCGGCGCCGGCGCTGTCCCGCGCGTCTCACAGCCGCCCCGCAGCGCAGCCGGAGCAGGCGCCTGTGTGTGCGTGTGTGCGTGCGTGTGTGTGCTCCGGGGTGTGTGTGTGTGTGTGTGCTCCGGGGTGTGTGCGTGTGTGTCTGGGGGTGGTGGGGTGCTGGAGCCCCTTCTCCGCCCGGTCCCTCGGGCTACGCGTCCCCGGTGCCCGGGAGACAGGACCTGCCCACCCCCTGAGTCTACACTCCGACTCCTGTTTCCATGGCAACTGTGCATCAGCCTGCTCCCCCCCCCCACCTTGGATTAAACCATCCATCCAGGGGGAACCTTTCCAGGCAGGGACCGAAACCAGGGACTTTCACAGAGTTCTCTCAGGAGCCATTCCACGCACATGTTGGTCTCCTTAACTGAAGTGACAAACTGCTTTTGTATTCGAGTCAACTGCTCCTGACGAGGGTGGCGTTCGCGTCTCTCTGACCACGCTGGTCCTCCCCCGCCGCGGCGCAGTGGTCCAGTCCGCCGGGTCCGGCCGCAAGGGGCGCCGAGGCCGGGCGTGCGCTCCGCGTGACGTTTAGGGGGCGGAGCCTCGCGGAAGGGAAGGGGCGGCGGGGGGAGGGGGGCGGGAAGAGGGCAGGCGGGCAAGATGGCGCCCGGCGAGTGACTGTCTCCGGGTCCCTCCAGCGGCTGCGGAGACGCCGGGGCGGGGAGGGGTTCTGCCCCCGTGCTGCCAGCCTTCCTCCTGGCCCCCGCCTCCCCCCGCTCCCCCGGAGGAGGCCGCCTCCTTCCCTGGCCTCCTTCCACCCCCGGGGGGCGGGCCAGGTTTCCCGGGACACCATGTCGGACTCGGAGGAGGAGAGCCAGGACCGGCAACTGAAAATCGTCGTGTTGGGGGACGGCACCTCCGGGAAGGTCAGTCCTCGAGCGGGGCCGCCATGACCTCCGGGAAGGTCAGTGCTCCGGCGGCCAGGCCCGACGCCCCCCAGGCCGCCGCCCGCGGTGGGGTCCCCGGCGC